GCTTGGTAGGGTGGAGGGTCGACGAAAGAGGGGGAGGCCTTCAACGAGATGGATTGACATGGTGGCTGTGATGATGGGATCAAGTATAGCAGGGATTGTGGGGCTTGCGCGGGATCGGGCAGTGTTTCGTTCTGCTGTGCATGGGGTCGCTATGAGTTGGAAACGACTCGACGGCACTTAACAACAACAACAACAACAATGAAGGAGCCCTGGTGGTATAGTTGCTAAGGTCTTGGCAGCTGAAAAGTTAGTGGTTTGAACTCCCTATCTGGTCCATAGGAGAAAGATGTGACAGTATGCTTTCATAAAGATTACAGCCTTGGAAATCCTATACGGCAGTTCTTCTGTCCTATACAGTTGCTATGGGATGGAATTGACTTGACAGCAATGGATTTTAATGGCCAATAACACAGCATTGTTTCTTGTACTTGTTGACCATACAAATATCCTCTTTTGTGAAATGTCCTTTTAAGCCCTGTGCCCATTTTTTGAATAGGCTGTCTTTTAAGTTGAAAAGTACTTTTATATTTTGGATATTAGATCCCATTGAATATATGGCTTCCAGTAATTTTCCCCCAATCTGTAGGTTGTCTTTTCACTATTTTTTATAAAATCCTTTGATGAAGCAATGTATTTAGGTTTCATGAGGTCCCATTTATCTCTTTTTCTTCGGTGGCTCATTTTTGTTGTCACATGACAATATATTGTTAAAAACAAGACCCTTCATCCATACCCTTATATTTTCTTCTAAAAATTTTATGGTTGTAGTTTCATGTTTAGGTCCTTGATCCATTCTGAATTGATTTCTGTATATGGTATGAAATATGGATCTGGATTTATTCTTCTATATATAGAAATCAAATTTTCCCACCACTGTTTATTGAAGAGATTCTTCCTTCTAAACTGAATGGACGTAAGCACCCCTGCTGAAAATACGCTGAATATAGAGCAATACATTTTTTAACGGTTCCTGATTCTTTTCCTCTTTTGTATAGCATCACTCCTATTAGCCTCTTTGCTTAGAAGCCCAATTTCAAGTGAACTCCCGTCCTCTGCTTTCAAGCATACACCAGCCTCATCTGAGACAGGTAAGAAGAGAAAGAAGGAAACAACACATATGTACACCTGCCCCCCTTCCACCTCCTGTGAGCATGCTGCAACTCCTCCTCTGCACTGTGAAATGCTGACAAGTAGTTTAGCACATGACTGTGTAGTGCTCAGTAACCACCCTTTCTTTATCTGGCAAAAATAACCTTTCATTGTTTCAATTCTCCTGAAGAATTTTCTTTAATGTCGATGGTGCAGTGCCTCTGGCATCTGACTGCTAACCAGAAGCCTGGTGGTTCAAACTCACCAGCCATTCCTCAGAAGAAAGACTGGGAAATCTACTTTTGCAGTGATACTGCCTCGGAAACCCAAAGAAGGGTCACTATGAGTTGGATCTGACTCCACGGCAATAAGTTTGGTTTAGATCAACTTATCACCAAATTCAACTTTTCGTGATTTAGTTCTCATTTATTAGCAATTTTGGGACTGTTAATATGGTTGGTTTGTGTCTTTAAAGATTGAAACTCAGTGCTTCTGAAGTAGTAATTAACAATATTTTGGTCATCAATTCTGCTTTCGAGTCTTGTTATTAATTACACTGGATGCCCCCAAAATATATCCTGGAATCCTAACCTTGGATGTAACTTCATCTGGGAATAGAGTTTTCTCTGTTGTATTAAGGAGGTCTTATCAGTGTAGGATGTGCTTAAACCTAATTACTTTTGAGATATAAAAAGGACAGATAAGGCACAGAGACAAGCAAACACAAATTGAGAAAGACAGAAGCACATGTGAGGATCAACCAAAGAATGTCAGGGTTACAGAAGCCAAGGCAAGGATTTTTCCCCAGAGCTGAGAGACAGATAAAGCCTTCCCTAGAGACAGTGCCCTGAATTGGACTTCTAGCTTCTAAAACTGTGAGAAAATATGTTTTTGGTTTTTAAAGCCACTCACATGTGGGATTTCAGTTACAGTAGCACTAAGAAACAAAGACAATTACACAAACAGAACTAGTCTTCCAACCTTCACCCCTCTAAATACACCAAGGAACCAAATATCTTATTACTGAAAAGGATAAGGTAATTTAAAATAATATTATTTCTTCATAAACAACTTCATGCTCTAAAACTTCTCAAGCCATAAATAAAACCAAAAAAAAGTAACATTTCTAAGTCATAATAAACATTTTCAATATATGATAATACATATACTATATAACACAATATTACCTTTTATAAAATTTTAAATATGTAAGTTCTATGTAGGGAAAATATATATTTAAAGTTATATATAAAGTACATGGGAACTTTGACTATTTTCCTGGTACATTCTAAGAGCTCTATATATTAAATATGATTAAAACATAAAATTCCCCACATAAAAGTCATACAGCAACATAGAAAAGAGGAAATCAAAGAACACATTCACTTTGCTGAGTGATTTGTCCTCAGTAGTTTCCTAATGTGTGAGATAAAACGAACTTTAAAAATATAATTTTTAATAAAAAAAATCTGAATAGTTAACTCATTCATATGGATTCAAACAATAAAAAGTATAAAATTTTGATTTTCCTTGAAAAGGACATTTTTCCTTCCTTCAATAATGGAACTAAGGTTAAATATTCATTTATGTAAGCATTGGCTTCTTAACAAGATTGAAAGCTCTTTGAGAACAATGATGTCATCAACATATTATTTAAATCTCTTTTAGTGATTAATAGTTACATCAGCCCAGTAAGTAAAGAGCTTCAATTATTTCATACCCACAGACATGTGAAGCAAGCTCACCTCTCACTCTTTTCCTCTACAGAATCTTGCATTTTAGAGGACAGTCCTGTACACCTGTCACCTGTAAGTTTTTCTTCTTCTAAGCCTATTCTGTTCCCATTGTATTTTTCAGTCATTATTTTGGCTGGGGAATGATCAAAAGCAGGAGACAAATCTTCCTTAGAAAGTTCTTTCCACTGTTTCTAGATAGAGAAGAGAAATGAAAAACAAATGCAATGAAAATTTGGGCTTCCTTAGATAAAAAGGATTTATGAACTGAAATTCTATATTCAATTTAAGAAAATCCTATCATACTAAGAGATGTATGAAAAAGCTATTTTACCATACCACAGCTCTTTTACATATGCCTATTATTTTCAGAAATTAAAAACTAATAAAGCATTTAATATTTATGTGTATCAGTATAGAGTTGAACACAATAATCTTACTAAAATCTAGTGGTCTTTTTCCTATTTGAGACAAACTGTATTAGACATTATGCATATGAAAGCAGGGACAATGAATAAGGAAGACCAAAGAAGAACTGATGCCTTTGAATTGTAGAGTTGGTGAAGAACACTGAAAACACCATGGACTGCCGAAGACTGAACAAATCTATCCTGGAAGAAGTACAGTTGAATGTTCCTTAGAAGTGAGAATGGCCAGACTTTGTCTCACCCACTTTGGTCAGGAGATCAGAAGGGACCAGTTCCTGGAGAAGGATATCATGCTTGGTAAAGTGGAGGGTCACAGAAAAAGGGGAAGACTATCAACAAGATGGATTTACACAGTGGCTGCAATGACGGGCTCAAGCATAGCAATGATTGTCAGGATGGTGCAGGACAGAGCAGTTTTGTTCTAGTGTACACAGGGTTGCTATGAGTTAGAATCTACTTGATGGCACAAAACAATACAACAACAAAAACATATTAGACATAATAAGAAGATTATAGCTCAAGTTAGATTTAGCTCGACTCCTAGCACATAGGTGCTAATTTCTGAATTAGTGACCAATATGGTGCTAGAATGGGATCTGGTAACTTCTTTCTCCTTCCCACTGTCCAGTCTAGTGGAGCTCTAACTTTGAGATCTGCAAGTAGGCCTTCTGGATGCAAGACTTTCATTTGGTTGTCACTACAGGTCTATAAGCAGTTAGAGGCCCTGGCTCACGACTAGGTGAGGGAAAACTCCTCTGACACCCACCTATGTACTTAAGAGCAGATGACCCACTGGGTGAGGGAAAATTCCTCTGACACCCCCCCATGTGCTTCAGAGCAGATGGCAACAGAAAGTAGGACTCAGAAGAAAACTGTCAGTTTCTTCACTTACAAAACAGGAATGCTATCACCTACCTCAGGAGGCTACTGTGGTGACTAATAAGATGTATATGTGAAAATGGCTAGTGTCATGTCTGGCAAATGTTTGAAGGAGACAAGTGGAGGAAGAGGTGCAGAGTGTAATCTGGGTCCTAAAGACGAAAGCAGTTAACAAATGTGTAAGCTAGAGAAGGCAGTACTGGAGACTACTGTCCCTCCAAGTCCTTCCCAGGGCTTCCTGCTTCTAGGAACAAAACGGCCACCTCTTTCCCTGACAATGACAATTTCAGCAGAGGCAGTAGCAGTGCGAGCCAATGATTTCGTTATCTATGACTCTGACCCTGGCTCAAAATGACTTTATATAGTCATAGTCCAGATTCTATCATGAAAGTAAGAAGTCTTGGATCTAATAAATAAGGAACTCCACACTCAATGCCTAAGGATTCTAATGATCTTGAGCAGAGGTTTGATACTGCCACACACATACTTTTTTGGAACTTATGGAACAGTCATTTCCTGGAGCTACTTTTGTGCAAAGTGGCACTGTTAAAAGCAATGTCTGTATATTAAGATTTTTAAAAAATCCTCAGACAATCCATTCATAAAGTGGATTTGCTAATTTCTAGTTTGTCTCATTATCACACAAGGATAACCAAAATCATTAAAGAGAAAATAAAAAGAAAAGGGCATTTTACCACATTCCATCTTTCCCAGATATGGCTATTAAGTTGTGTAATTAATGTATGTCTTTTTGTTTTAACTTGATTCACAAAACACACAGAAAACATGAAGTATCAGAATTTGTTACATTGTTACTGGAGGACAGTGAGTAGTTCAGATTGCTACAATTTGGCTAGAAGACAGAGAACATGTAGAGTTTGGTCCTGACAGGTAAGCTGGAAAAGAAAGAGCTTCTGAATTTAATCAAGGAAGCAATAGGGTAGAACTGAACACTCCTCAGCAAGAGCCTAGTGGGACACCCCATATCCAGGAGGAAATTTTTGTCAACAGTTAAGAATACTATCATGAAACACAAGAGTAAGAAGTTTTCACTGTAGATGACTATGTCCATTTGCTTTCTTTCCTTGTTTAAAATGTTCTGTCTAAATAGCATTTTTGATAGTGAAGAAGATACAGGCGACACTTGCCATACCCTAAACAGCTAACAAATAGTAAAGCTAAGCAGTCTTGGTTGACTATGCTATCAAGATTATCTGTATTCTTTGAAAAGCTCAATAATTTCAGGCACTGAATAGTTTAAGAAAACACCTCATACAAATCTTAAATTATCTCCAGAACTTATGCTGGTCAATTTTTGAAGTTTTCACACTTCACTGAGATCTAGTTCTAGCAACTGGGGCTTGTTGTTGTTGTTATGTGCCGTCAAATCGGACCCGACTCATAGCGACCCCCCTTGGGTTTCCGAGGCAGTATCGCTACGAAAGTAGATTGCCCTATCTTCCTTCCAAGGAGTGGCTGGTGGGTTTGAACCGCCAGCCTTCTGGTCAGCAGTCAGGTGCCTTAGGCACTATGCTACCAGAGCTCCTAAAGGATGAAATTCAACAATGTCAATAAAAGCCATTATGCATAAAACCATAATGGATTATTATAGATCATAATGATCATTACTGGATCACTTCTAAAAAAATGTAACCAATTCAGAATCTGCCCACAAGAAAAGCATTCAGAAAAGAGGGAAATTACTTCAGAGGGGGAAAAAGAGAGCTATATAATATTAATGGAAAAAACAAACAGAAAACACACAAAAAAACCCACGTTGTTCTGCTGTGTCTTTTGAAGCTAATGTACTGAAAATTTGATGAAACTAATCTAGTTCACGTTCTCATTTTGAGGTCTCAAGTAAGTGTTACCTAGATTATGGATTTATAATCTTTCTCATACCTTGCTCATGATGAACTGCATTCCCTGTCATCACATGCTGGTGTGAGCAACTGCCCACATAATGCTTGTGATTCTATCCCCTGTCCACTGCCACTCCAAAGAGCAGTAAAAGTGATACAATTAAACTTGGGGCCCTGAAATTTTTAAAAAGTTTATCATTTACATTTAAGACTTTTAAAATCAAAAATACCAAACTCACTGCCATCGTGTCAAGTTGACTCATAGTGACCCCTCCTTGGTTTTCTGAGGCGGTTATCTCTATGGCAGTAGATTGCCCAATTTTCCTTCTAAGGAGTGGCTAGTGTGTTTGAACCTCCAGCCTTCTGGTTAGCAGTTAAATCCCACAGGCACTACAAGCTTCAAATTCCCAGCTACAGATCTTACAACAACAGTTCTAAATAGTTAAGTAGATAATGTACTCTGGAAGGTTTACTCTCATCACTGAAATTAGGCATTTTCTAATAAATATGTGTCATATCAGCAACTACTACATGTATTAATGGTGACCCTGTATCAAGGAAGATATAAAGCAATAGGTATCATTAGAGAGATGACAAAAAAATTATCTGTATTTATTTAGGTAGGTCAAGGTCATTGGAGGTTTTCTGTACGTGGATATAAGCTTACAATTATATACCTATATTTACTAATTTTTAAGTACACACAATCACTTCTGATGTATAAAACTAAAACCTATCCTTTGTCTCTACAGGTTTTAAAGTCACTTTACATCCACATGTCTGAAATGTTCACAGGAAAACTATATCCAATAAAGAAAATACCACTTATATCCTTATTAAAAATTGAAGGGGGAAGGCAGGTGGTCCTTTCAGGAAAAAGGACTAAAGAAGAATTACATGAGTGGAGCACTGTTGAGCAGAAAGACATTTTCTAGACATGGCCCCACTCACTGTAAAGAAGTGTCCTTCCTTCTTCTTACAAATATTTGTTTTTCCCAAAAAATAGAAGCAAATAAGATATGAAGCAGATGGACAGAGAAGAATTAAGAGTCTTCTTCAACTGGCTATCACATTCTCATAAATCAAACACAATACTTTTATAGGATACAGTTTTATTCACATACAGTTTTGGGTTTTTACATTAACAAGGTAACTCTGGATCTAATAGTAAGGTTTTATAGTATCAGATTTTGAGGAACTTCTCTTAGATTTCAGTTCTATGTTAAGGTTCTAGCACAGCATTTCAAATAAAACATGATGTAAGCCACATATAAAAACTAAAATATAAAGAAGTAAATTTATTTTTAATGTTTTCTCTAATGTATCAAAAATATCATCACTTGAACATATAATCGTTATTTTTTAAAACTAAGATAATTTCCACATTTTTGCATTAAGTCTTGAAAATGTGATCTGTATTTTTTACATTGTAATCACATTGCAATTCAGACTAGCCACATTTCAAACTGCAATGACACATGTGGTTAATAGAACCGAGTATTAAGTAGTTCTAGGAAAAGAAAAAGAGAGAAAACTGTGTTCAGAGTATGTGAACCATAGCATAGTATATGGCATTTGAAGAAAAATTATCCTATTAATGGACAACAAAATAAATCCAAAAACACAGATTCCTAAAAGAATAAGTACATGCCAAAATGCTTTCAAATTTAAAGGTGGGTGAGTTAAAGGGGACTTTCTCTTTGTACATTACATATTACCACATTGTTTGAAATTTTTTCTAGCCAACATGAACTCATTAATTATTTTTATAATAAAAAATAAATTAACAGCATCGAGTCCTGCTAACATGATTTGTGTGGAAATTACCCTTAGTAGGTAATGGGTTTTTCTGATTCCGAGCACTGGAAAAGTACAGAGACATTTACACTGTCCTACCTTGAACACAGGCAGAGATTGGTCTTTGGTTTGAACAGGGTGCTGTTGAGGCTAATGTTTAGAGTTTTTGATGGATACGCCATACCACATCAACTGGGAAAAAAATTTTTCCTAGCCACAAACTGCAATATTATAATAAAGACTCCACAGAAAGTATGCTTATAAAACTCACCTCTATAATGTTAAAGATCCTCAAAGTAATTAAGTAAATATTCTAAAACTGAAGAGACAAAACATTAAAAAAAAAAAAAAAAAGGGGGGAAATTATCTAAATGACAGTACATTTTTTCCTACAATTACTTAATCTGTAAGTATGACCAGGAAATAAACAGTGAAAAGCAACTATACAAGATACACAGGTGTGTGGAAAAATTTTGATTTCACAGTTTAAACTTTTTTAAACTCCAGTCTTAAGATGGTAAAAGGCTCACTTGAGACAAAAATGAGAAATTTTACTAATCTTAAAACACCTGAGATAACTTTCACTTCTCCAAAATCACTGTTAAAAAGCAAAGATGTCACTTAAAAGACTAAGGTGCATCCAACCCAAGCCATGGTATCTTGAATCAGCTCATGTGCATGTGAAGAAAGCTGGACAACAAATAAAGAAGACCAAAGACTTGACGGCTTCAAATTATGATGCTGACAAAGAATACTAAATATAGCATGGATGGCTAGGAGCTCTGGTAGCACAGTGTCTAAGACATCTGACTGCTGACCAGAAGATTGGTGGTTCAAACCCAATGTACTTCAATGTTATAAAGATTTACCGCCTCAGAAAACCAATCAGGGTTGCTATGAGTTGGAATTGACTTGATGGCAGTGTTTTTTTTTTTTTCCCTCCCATGGATGGTCAGATAAACAAATCTGTCTTGGAAGACATACAGCAAGGATACTCTTTAAAAATGAGGATAGTGAGACTTCATCTCCCACACTTTAGACATATTATCAGGAGGGACCAGTCCTTGGAGAAGGACATCATGCTTGGAAAAGTAGAGGGTCAGCAAAAATGAGGAGTATCTCAATGAGGTGGATTGACACAATGGCTGCAACAATGCACTCAAACATAGCAATGACTATGAGAAGGGCACAGGACAATGTTTCATTCTGTTGTACAAAGGGCTGCTATGAGTTGGTGCCAACTCAATGGTACCTAACAACAACAAATCACTGTTCACTGGCAAGGGAATCCCAGAGAAACAAAATTTTCTGTGTTTTGTGGGGTGCTTTCTAAATACTTGGTATTTTTACTAATGACATTGAGTAATCTGATGTTTCTCCTTATTAAATTAAAAAAAAAAATGCTATTTAAAGATTCAGGAGCTCTGGTGGTATCGTGCCTAAGGCATCTGACTACCAGCCAGAAGGCTGGTGGTTCAAACCCACCAGCCACTCCTCAGAAGTTGGGTACTTTATTTCTACAGAGACACCACCTCGGAAATCTAAGGTGGGATCACTATGAGTCCAATCAACTTGACAACAGCTAAGTTTTTTTTTCTTTGGTTAAAGATTTAGGAGCTCTGGTGGCATAGCTGATGAAGGACTGCTAACTGAAAGGTCAGTGGTTCAAACCCATCAACTGCTCTGCCAAAGGAAGACTGAGAGATCTCCTTCCATAAAGACTTACAGCTTCAGAAACCCAATGGGGATCACTATGAGTTGCAAATGACTCAATGGCAGTGAGATTTTTTTTTTTGTTGTTTATATAAAGATTTAAATAAAAACTTTAATAAAAATAAAATATTAAGATATTATTGATAAAATGGGAGCTCTGGTGGTGTAGTGCCTAAGGCATTTGACTGCTAACTAGAAGGCTGGTGGTTCAAACCACCAGTCACTCCTCAGAAGGAAGACTGGGCAATATACTTCCATAGAGGCAGTGCCTTGGAAACCCAAGGAGGGGTCACTATGAGTTGAAATCGACTCGACATCAGTCAGTTTGGTTTTTGTTTTTTATGGATAAAATATTATGACACCAAGTTGAATAGTTAAAATAGATCGGAAAAATAATATAGCTGTGAATAAACAAGACTGTGTAAGAATATTTTTAAATGCCTTTGAAATCTACACATTTACTATACTTATTACATGTTGACAGATGATCTAAGTGATGAAAGAAGGCTTATTCTTAATATTCCAGTGCTGGCTAGAAATCATAGAAATTACAGAGCTAGTAAACTTGTTCATATCTGAGAAATATATTGAAAGAGATTCTCAAAGACGCACTATTTACTTATGTCCAAGGTGATTAGATCAGATTAAGAGCTGGGGGTCTGTTGTTCCTACTCCATTTCTATTTTATATTTTGAGTTAGCGCATGATACAGATTCCTGATTATCAGTGCTTGAATTTAGCTTCTGCAAATATGGAATAAAAATATCTTCAAGAGAATAAAGGTACAACCAGGGAACATTTTACCGGAACTTCATTATGACTGCCATAGTACTCAAGTTGCTCTGTGCTATAAAGTAAAATATTATATAAATCAAATCCTTTATAATCCCAAATCAGGTTTCTAAAGGGACAAAAATACCTAAAATTTCTGATTTATTTTAATAATCAAATGCATAAACTCCTCCTTACATGAGAATTTAAGTTTCTTTAACAGAATCTTGCTTTCATTAGCACTTTTAAGTACCACTTAGTTAAGATTTAAGATGAGGCTTAAAAGTTTACAATTTTAAGATGAATGGCTGGATTTCCACATTACTGTAAATATACTTTTTAAAGGAAGGGATGAGATAAATGCTTAACTGGAGTACAATTATGCTAACTGCATTTAACTGTTAAAAAGTGGGGATATTTTTCTCCTAAAAAAGTTTACCTGTATATTTGAATCTCCCTTTATAAACTTTGCTCCTTCTATTATAGCCATATATGAGAATCTGAGTTGATCTGGTGTCTGAATAAGTCCCATTCGGTATTTTCTCATATTCAGTAACACTTGCTTAATGTTAATATCATTTCCTTTTTCCATCTGCAAGAAAGGTGAAAATAATTCAAGCCTTTTGTTGTTAGAGTCCAGGAACAGATAATACAGAATCACTGCTAAGATTTTTGCTATTCTTTGTGCTCCTTCTGAAGAACAAGGATAATTTAATATTGTAGCAGTAACTGCTGTGTACACAAGGACCATTCAAATCTATTCATCCTCCTTTGAATCCCAATATGTTTTTCAAGTGGTAGAGGATTGAGAAAAAAAAATTTTTTGATCCTTTGTCTGACTCATAGCTTATTCCAAACCAATCATAGTTTAATCTCAACTCATTTAGACAATATTTGGTCAAACCAAGGATTTATGACTAGTGTTCTGGCTAATGTAATAGTAAGTTTGCTAAAATTAGTTTTCTTTCTTAAAAAAAAAAAAAAAAAAAAATTCTTGGCATGAGCAAATGTTTTTGTCCACTGCCCTTCCCTCTCTGTCATGTCTGGATATAGACTTGGTGTCTGGGTATCCTGCAGCTGTTTAAAGATGTTAGAGAAGAAAGCGTGAGCCCAGTTCATGATGAGACTATTTAGCTATACCAGCTCTGGACTACAGATCTGGTACTATAAAAAACAATCTCTCGTTCCCTACGTGGGGGAAAAAAATTCTTAAAGTTATGGCGGCAGGGCCTTTGCTATTTGACTGAATGCATTCGTAACAGGCACTAACACAGTCCAGCTGTAATGTTCATGATTCATACAGTAGACACCAGAGTTTCAAAACATATTAGCATTCACTTTAATATAATAATCCAAATTTCTAATCGACATATTCTGTAACAAGGAGAGTGGTAAAGTAATACACTATGCGCCAAGACTGAACTGTTCTAATTCCTTTTATCAAAGATGAAATGTCTGAAATGTTCTTCCAAGAATATCACTCTACTGATCAAGACTCCTGTTAAAATATGTGTATTTACCAGGCATAATATCATTAAATGATTTCATTTGAGAACTTACTTTGTACTAGCTGTACTGTTAGCATATGAATGCTCAGAAAAGTACAATGAAGCATAGTGAAGTTTTATAAAGACAGGAAAGAGAAGGTAACACAGGACCTTAAAGTCAAGATTTAGGAAACCAGTCTACTTAACGTCCGTATTACTAAAAACAAGCTCAGGAATGTAAAAAGTAAACTACAGGGAATACTGAAGGAATAAATGACATAGAAATCATAGCAGAAGGGATTATAGATGGCTTATAGTCAATACAATGAGGGAGAAACAAGAGAAATTAGAAGGTGCCTTAGGGTCAACAGAAGCCCTTGCACCCCAAGTAAGGAAAAATTAACTTCTTTAAAAGATAAAGAAAGGCCTGTATTATTCAGGCTGAGGCTGGGAATGGGCTGGTGGAAAAACAACATACCTGGTGGGGGTACAGATATGAATCCCAGGGAAATAATAACATCTACTAAGTACTTAGAATAAACCAGGAACTCTTCTATATTTTCTAAATGTACTAATTCATTTGATTCTTGCAACAACTCTGTGAGGTAAGTACTATCATTATCTCTAGTTTATAAATAATGCAACTAAGGCAACTGAGGTGAAATATTCATCCAAAAAAGAAAGACTTAAGTATTATATATCAATTTATATTTGAAAAATTGTGGAGGTAGGAAGACCTATTATTTTTGTAATACAAAGCTACCAGAAAAAAAATCTTGGAACTATCTAGAATTATCTTGGATATATCTCTACCAGTCGTGAGTAAGAGACAGTTCAAAGGGTGGAAATGATTTTAGGTTCTTCCAAAAGAGAGCAGATACTTAAGTTTGAAAAGCACAGTTCTGGAATACTGACGCCAGAGCTTACTTCTGTTAGTAGAAAAAAACAAACAAAAAATAAATAAGATAAAAATTAAATCATAAGATGCACTTACCAAAATAAGACAGGTGTCTACTAAGGAAAAGGTGCCAGATCGCCCGATGCCAGCACTGCAGTGAACCACCACGGGCCCATGCTCAGGGTTCAAGGAGCCAGATTCTCTTACTTTAAATAAGAAATTGAGAAATGAAGCTGGTGACTCAGGGACTCCAAAATCTGGCCAGGTGGTATAATGAAAATGAGATATTGTTCTGGTTTCACCACTCTACAAAGTAAAAATCAAGGGGAAGGAAAAGTTAGTTCTAATTTCTTTCTTTAAAAAAAAAAAAATCTAGGTTAGAAAGATTATGTATTTTACATAATGCTTATAATCCATACAGACCTTCTACACCATGACTTTTTCATTTGATTTTGGATAATCACTTGTATAAATTGGGGAAAATTTCCTTTAGGGGAATTTGGAATATATTAATAGTAACTAATACTTATGTAACACTAATCATTTTGTAGCCATGTTCTAAGTTCTTTAGATATTAATCGAAACCACACAAAATCCATCTTCCAAAAGAGAAAACTGAGGTGAAGAGCAGCTAAGCAATGTGCCCAAGATCACATGGCTTCAAAATGGCAGAGCCAGGATTTGAAGCAGCAGCAGTTACAGTCTGAGTTCTCAACCACTGAGCTATACTACACATGTTTCTAATATTTTCTTTAACTCACACATCATGATTGGATTCCTTATTTCTAGTTTTAAAAATGCTCTATCGTACAATTTTATGTCCTTTAATGCTTTTTAACAAGTCCCAACTTTTTTTTTTTAAAATATAAATTTCCCTTCATATGATTTTTCTTTTAGATTCTGCTATATAGGCACAGAAGGGCAATACAAGGATTGATAGAAAGAAATAATCTTTACATTTTTAATTGAAATTGTTCTTCTAATTGCTACCCTTCTCCACAGTAATAAATTCCAGTTCTAAAACTGTTAATATGCTTATGCGCTAAAATGACTTACCAACATACTAAATGTTTCCCGTTTCTTAATGCCTGCCTGGCACTCACTCCTACTTCCTGATGATCTTTATTTCTGACTTACTCCTGAAAATGTTCCTTAGTTTTGCCAATTATCTTTTGTCTTATTTCTGAAAAGTAGCAGTAATTCTTGAACATGTTTCTGCACAATTTTTCAGTTTTTTATGACTTTTTTTTGGAAGGGAGGAGGCATAGAAGTAATATTTTTTAAATGTGTATCTTAATGGTTAATAGCTAACTATAGCACCCAACTGTCAACAGAAACATTTGAAATCAGAAATTATCTTTCATTTTTAAAAACAAATTTTCTTATTTAAGTAGAACCAGACTCAATTATATAAAGAATAACACTGATGAAATACACTGCAAAAATAATTTTTTAAAAATTCTTTTATACTATATACTTTCAGTTACCAACTCTTCTTAACATGTAGCTTTAGTAATTATAAACACATTGTGATCCACAGGTTCTCAATATCCTGAAGGCACTAGGAGATTTCCCCACTATTAACTTAAGTGATCATCACCATTTCTAGATTTAAAAACATTTCCTTTTATATTCATATCAAGTATTGTAAGTGAAAGAAATCAGATTCAAAAGCCTATATAATGTATGACTGCATTTATGAGATAATCTGGAAAAGAAAAATTATGACAAGCAGAAACAGATCAGTAGTTGCCAGGAGCAGTGGGGAGGTAGGGTTAGTTGTCAAAAAGCAGCAGGAGATAATTTGGGGTGTGTGTATGTGTGACAGAACTGTTCTGTTATCTTGATAAAGTAGTTACACAACTGAAAACTTATGGAACTGTACACCAAAGAGAGTAAATTTTATTGGATGCAAAAAAGTAAATTCGTTTACTGTATTAAAAAAAAGGAATTAAAAAAAAACTAAATTAATAAAGTGAAATTATACTTCCATTTACAAAGCTTTAAGTTGACAGTAATTACTCAACATTCATGTAAGAACAGCCTGTTAACAGCTGGTCCTTGGTTAGTCTAGGAGTATGGTTAGCACAAGTCATGTTTTTCTTTAATCTGGGTCTATGATTTCAGTGGGACAACTGCCCTTTGAGTACCAAGCACCCCAAAGCAGTGCTAATGGAGCTTGGTAAGGCACAAGCACCACCTGGTTGCAGGCTCACTTATTTCATCACCTCTTGGCTCAAAATCTATGGTTACTCTAGTCCTGGGCAACTGTTTGCTTGCATAATTTTGGTTCAAGACTAGTGGTCTCTTAATTTTTTTTTTTTTCAAATTCAAGTCACAATCTTTAATAATAAAATCAGTTCCCATAAATGTTTTTAACTGTGTATGTTAGTCTTTTCCACCAACACATTTTTGGAAATTACTGTTTATCTACTCTTACAGGACCAGACAAAAGGACTTCTTTTTTAATTGTGATTTGGGTAAAAATTTACAGAGCAAATTCACTTTCCATACAGAAGTTCACATATACTTTGTCTCATGACATTGACCACAATTTACTACAATGCAACATCTCCCCTCCTACTTCCTCTCGATAGTTACCTCTTCCCTGTGTCCATCTCTCCATGCACTTCTGCCCCCTGAGCTATCTCCCTGTGCATAAGCAGCCCTTCTTTCTCCCGTGATTGTTCTCTCCAAGGAGTGCATCTACCTCAGGTAAATGTTCAATTCATATGCCTGTCTATTGTTTGGCTGGAAGCATGGGTTCAATTCCAGACCTGAAGGGCAGCTAGGGGCCATAGTCTCAGTGGTTCCACCAGGCTCTATTAGACCAGCAAACCTGGTTGCCCACAAAAGGAGTTCTTGAGAGGTTAATTCTGACTAATTTACTCCTACTGAAACAGGATTCTAAAAACATAGCTCACAAAATCATGTAACTCAGGGCTACACAGGAACATATAATGTAAGAAGATCCATATCATTACTATACTGGTATAGAAGGCATGATTGTACCCTTTCTTCTCTTTTTCAAGCTAGGGGGAAAAGAAATTGGAAGGGGGAGGAAAAGGTTGCCAAAGGATACAAAACTAAAACCAAACAAGTTCTACATTTAGAATTTACAAATGACAAAGTTCTAGTTCAAACCTCAGAAATGTCCTTTCTTTTTCCTCGGTAACATAGTCACATCATTCTCTCTCACATCCAATCACCCCTTCCACTGTTCCCTCACTGCTGCATCCACAGTTCAGGGGCCATTCCAGTCTCCCACCTGCCCACACAGGCCTTTCTGTCTCTCTGTAACACTTTGCAGTATGTCTGCCAAATAGCGCAGAAAAATTTCAGTGGCTCATCTTCCTTTTTTAAGGCAAAATCCCATTTACATTTTTTTGAAATAGAATTCAAAATTTAAAGTTGTTGAATAAGAATACCAAACATGTTATATATGAATTCCAAGTAGGAAATCTGTGAGTTGAGTAGGTATAAGATGTTGGGGAGCTGTAAGGCCTATAGCAATTTAAATGCATGCCTTTTCTAAATCTATTCAAATTATACATAATAATTACTATAAAGATACATGCAGTTCTACGGGCTCAGATTCATAAGTACACTCTAGATACAAAGATCATGTTTCTGAAATGGAATGTTTTTATTACCAAGCCTCAATGCCAGCATTCATAAATGGGCCTAATAACAGTACTTACAAAGGTGTTATGAGGAATAAATAATGAAAGTAACGTGTCTGACATTTGCCTGGTACATGGTAAAGCTAAACAGACACTGGCAATTTCTACAATAATTAGATTCTTTAATCAATTTTACTGAAGATCCTAAAATGCTCTAATCCACACTTTCAACTTCTTCACTTAGTATTTCCTCTACAGCTAAAGAGTCACTGAGTTTGTCAATGTTATCTCCTAAATATATTTCTAGTTTGTACCCTCATTGTCACTGTGTTAGTTCAGTGCCTCATCAATTTTTGCAGTATTAAATATTTAGTTACTGAAATTCATTTGGAAAGAGGAACACAACTCACCAAACCAGGATATGAGGTGAGTGACAGGCAGACAGAGATATGGGTGTATTGTAAGCAGAGCAAGAAGCATAATACAAAGGTGGGGCCCCAAGGAGCAGACTTGTTTAAGAAGTGTTAAGTAATTCAGTAAGAACCAATCCTGATGCCCAGAGGACATGAAGATATACAAGGCAGCCAGCCAGAGCCTTCTGCTTTAGATATGGACTTTCTTTTATAACTGATAAGGATTGTGGAGGACTTTTGAACAGTGTAGTGGAAGAAGCACGTCTGTGTTCTAGAACTACTACTCAGGTGTGCTTACCCATGGACTTGGTGTTATTGTAGCACGGAGCAAAAATGCAGCAGGTAAGTACCCTGGTGAGCTAAAAACTGGTTGCCCCTGCTCAGTTTCTGTTGAATCAAACTCCATTCATGACAACCCCATTTGTTTCACAGTAGAACTTTGCTATATGGGATTTTCAGTGGCTGTAATCTATCAGATCACTAGGCCTTTCTTCCTACGTGCACCTGGGTGGACTAGAACTGTCAATCTTTTAGTTAGTAGCCAAGTGCTTAACCATTTGCACCACCCACAGACTCCTCAAAAACTCTGATATGGAGTCAAAATTATACACATACCCTGACTGAACAAGCCAGTAAAATGGTAAAATTAATCCTGGAGAGATATATAATAAAGAATAATTACAGCTATTAGGAATGAATGGGCCAAGGGCCCATTAGGAAAGATCTAAGTAAGAGGTAGACTACAAGCTGGTACTAAGGATATTGAGGAAATAAAAAGGCAGAGATGAGGGGGGAACATTACAAGTGGGAGAGATTATTTAAACTATTCTGAATCAAGTCACAGCTCAGCACTATACTGATTAGGCACCCACTCTGCTTTATGTCTACAGAGACAGGGAAACAGGAAACAGTCAACATTGCACCAGTATTCCTGGAACTCAATAAACATAACGCTGGCCAACAGTATTACGGAAAACAGTGAAGGACAAATAAAAAAGAAAAATGTGAAAGACAGATAAGGACTCTAGATGACCTTGCATTTAAAAAGCGCCTCAATTATCTCCACAGTCTTAGCCAAGGGCCCACTCTGAAAGAAGAGATAGAATCTCTGTTCATTCAGGGGCAAAGTTCAAACTCTCAGCTCTGAGACTCTGGAAAGGGTCCCTGGTATGCCGCTTTATTGCTCTGTTAAGACTACAGTTCTCGAGAAGAATGTTGTTGTTTGTTGCTATGTGCCACTGGGTCGGACTCGACTCATAGCGACTCCTCCTTGGGTTTCCGAGGCAGTATCACTACAGAAGTAGATTGCCCCATCTTCCTTCCGAGGAGTGGCTGCTGGGTTTGAATAGGGACTGCTTAAATGACAGCCGTGAGCCCCGATCTGTTAACAGATTCAATTCAGACTTGTTTAGCAGTAAAGTGGTTTTTTGTACCTCCAAAAACCAAAACCAAATTCACTGCCATCAAGTCGATTCCACTCACAGTGACCGCCTTTGGGTTTCCGAGGCAGTAAATCTTTATGGAAGTAGATTGACCAACCTCCTTTCTGAGGAGTGGCTGGTGGGTCTGAACTACCAACCTTCTGGTTAGCAGTCAAATACCTTAGCCACTATGCCACAGAGCTCCTTTTCTATAGCCCAGGTACTTCAAATAAAGATCTGCAGGCTGAGGCTGGCTTGCATTTCTATACTTCACCATCACCTTCTCTCGCTCATTCATTATTCCTTTCTGCCTCAATTTGTTCTTTTTAACTGCTCCTTGCTCCTATAGTCCTTCTCAATTTTTTAGTATCACAAAGAGAACAGGTGAAAATAACAAAAGCTAACTATGGATGCCTCATTATGCCTTAGGCTCTGCTATAGTATTTACTCAGTCGATCCTATGAGTTTGGTACGTTATCAATCCTATTTTATAGATAAGAGGTTACCGTATGTGACCCAAGTCACACAGCCAGGAATGGCAGAGTCAGGATTTAAACTCAGGTGATCTGGTTCCAAATTCAATTCTATGTGCTTAACCAAATGCAATTCTCCCTCTCATACTGAAATGCTACTTCATTCTTCTAACTTTCCTGATTCTTTCTAAAAACTGTAAAGTATAAAATAAAAATAAAATTGCTGTTTCATAATGGTAGATTCTGATCCCAGGTCAGTAAGAAATACAGTGATCATTCGACTATTCCACACAGTAGCTACCAACTAAAAAGTAAGTGGTTTAGCCAACATACATGGTGGCGTCAACTTCAGAAAGCAGCTTTATAACGAAGAATTTTCCTTGACAACAATTAGCATCTTTTTCGAAAAGCATCTATTCCCTGTATCGTTAGAAGTTAGGAGACTTGGATTTGCGTTCTGGTCTGTCACTTATTAGTGAAGTAATCCAGGGGGGAAAAAAAGCCCTAAAACTTAATGGGTTTTAGTACTTTGTTTTTATGAAATACAGGGTTAATATGAGTATTTACCCTATCCATTTTATAGGAAGACTGTGGGTCAAATATGATGTATGTGAAAGTGCTTTGCAACTTGATAAAAAAAATACAAAGTACTCTATTTTATTATTATTTGAGATAAAATCAATAATCATTTAGGATTGTTTCAGAACAGGAAAACACATCTATGCCCTTCTCCATCTAAATCAATTTTAAAGCTGTAAGCAGAGGAGGTAAAAAATACTATATGCCAAAATAAGATGGGATAAATACCCAAAGATGATGATTCACAGAACTGTGATAAGTTTGTGGAAATGTAGTTCTGTTTCCAGAAATTTTTAAAGCCCAGGATCAAAAAGTTACTGTGTATCTCAATGCAGCTTAAGATATATGTAAATGAAATGACTTGTGCAAAATAAATGCAGTAATGGGAATTTTTAAGTCTAAGACTCATAATTTCTGGCCTTGAAGTGAACCAAGACAGTGTAACAGGCATAGGGGTTAAGGAAAGCTGGACAAAGGATCCTAAGCCTTAAGGACATAGCATGCACCTGTACACAGGAAAAACAGAGCAATATTCCAAGAGATCAATGGTAAAAGGTAATTCCACACATCTAAAAAGTACTTACATATATCCCTTCTCTTTTCTACAGTTGTTTTTCAAGCTAATGATCATATATGTAAACCACTTAATTCATTCAGTGCTGAACTAAAGTATCTCATTTTATAGACCAGACATATACCTGAAGTCATTTTTGCAAAACAGTTTCCTATTGTTGCTAATGATACCTCAGAATCACTCCAATTTCCTATTTTCTAACTTGTTCTCATTATAATACAAAGAGATCAGAAGAGATAATGGGACAGGGAGGAGAAATGGTTGATAACCGGATTGACAACAGCAGCATCCATCTGTATGTATCTCAACCCAGTACCAAGGAACAATTTCATGTATTTCTGGAAAAAAATCAAAGTCAGTATTCTTTAGACCAGATGCTAAATTTATTTCACCATTTCATCTAAGTTAATAACAACAAATATCTGTGGTAAATTACTTGAGTTCACACCATTCTAGTTCATCCTTTTCTTGACTAGCTTGCTACTCTCAATATTCAAAGTACCAGTAGCTCTCGTCCATTAGGTATCTATTATCAATCAGATGCTTCATTTGATCCTCTAACTGCCCTGGAGCACAGGATTATAATACCCGTTTAAAAGCGGATCAAAGGCTCAGGGAGTCTGAGGAACAGGTCCAAAGTATACCTGTATTATGTAGCAGAGAGAATTTGAACATAGGTTTGCTTTACTCTCAAGTCCCCTCTTAATCCTCAATTATTATTATTATTATTTTCAGTTTACATAATCCTCAATTATTTTTAATGAATTACTTTCAATCCTAAATTATCAACCAGAACTTGGAAATCCCTAGTTTCTGGGGCATCCTGATAGTCCTCAGAGAGCTACTACATAGGGAATACACTGAAAAACAAACGGTTATGATTAAACAGTTTCATAAATAATACTCATATGGATGTGCTATATCAAACTTCAAATTTGATAACAAAGACTAACTCTTAAAATCATTATATAGAGTCCAAACTTTTAGCCATGAGAAGTCTTACATTGATATTTTCTAATTGTAGTAGATGTACTGTATAGTATGATTTCACATCTTCTGATAAGAACTTCACACTGAATCCTGTTTCTTTAAACATCATCTCTTGGTCATCTTTTGTTGGCCAATACTGTGCACATTTAACCTAAATTAAAAAAATATGTATCTTTATGATTTCTTAAATTTAAAAACATTATGAAGACATACAAAGTTGAAATAGGAAAACAAACCACATACATACTACTATATTTTTTGTCAAGTACACACCTAAGAACAGTTACCACTATACAGGTAGTCCCCATGTTAGAATGTCTAACTTACAGACAACGCCTACTTGCCCTTTAATATTATGTAAATTTACTTTCATTTTAAAACAATCGAAAAACCCCTACTTGCAACAAATTCTTCATCACAACCACCTTTACTTGCACACGTGCAACTTTTAAATCACTGAAAAGGCTTCAAGTCTTTTTGCACTAAAAAACAAAATAACAAACCCACTGCCATCAAGTTGATTGCAACTCATAGCGACCCTCACTGGGTTTCCAAGGCAGTAAACCTTCACAGAAGTAGAGTGCTCCATCTTCCTTCTGTGGAATGACTGGCAGGTTTGAATTGCAAACCTTCTGGCTAGCAGTCAAATGATTTAGGCACCATGCCTCCAGAGTTCCTTTTTTGCACTAAATGCACCTGTTTTGACATAGCTAAAAATTCAACTTAAAAACACACTCAGTACAGGACACATCTGATTTGTAATCCAGGGACTGCCTGTATTTAATATTAAAGGATTTTAGTAAGACTGACATTTTATGAAGGAGGTTTGCTCCTCCAACTTATAAACTAAAACAAACATAGACAGGTAACACATTGGTAAAATACAAATTATTTTTTAATTCCTAAAGCATGAAGCCAGCAGAGTGATGCAAGGTAATATTTTTAAAGTAATTTCATTCAAATAAAATACCAGAAAAACATCCTTTTAAAAAATGGCCTTATTCTTTTCCAAATCACCAACAAATGTAAATAACATTAAATAAATAAATAATATACTATTCAATATCTACCAAATACTTCAAAAGGGCTAAAAGACATTCAAAAATTACACTAGTGAAAGAGTATGAGTGAAACTTAGAATTGAGAAATGAAGTGATAGAAGACAGAAAAGAATCACAAATAATAGACCAAATAATTTCATAAATGAAGATTAAACTACAATAAACACAACAGATAATGTCTTAAGAGAAAAAGAAGAAAAAGAGAAAATTTTTTTAAATAAAAAAGGAATGGAGAGACAAATAGGAACAGAACATATACCAAATATAGATGGTAAGCAAAGAAAATCCAATACATGTATACCAAATATAGATGGTAAGCAAAGAAAATCCAATACATGTATAACCAAAAAAAAGAACAAACCCACCATCACTGAGTTGATTCTGACCCATAGGAACCCCTGCTGGGTTTCTAAGGCTGTAAATCTTTACAGAAATGAACTGCCTCATCTTCCTTCCATGGAGCAGCTGGAGGCTTTGAACCATCAACCTTCTGTTTAGCATCCAAATGCCTCCTTACCCACTACACCACGAGAGCTCATTACATGTATAAGAGGAGTAAACAAAGAAGAAATGGAAGGCAATCAGAGAAAGAGAACAAAATGAACAACTATAATACAATAGTTTTTTCTTAAAAAAAGAACTTTGAAACTACATACTGAAGGAGCACACTGTACACCTAGAAAAAAATAACCTAGAATGACCAACATCAAGACATATTAGAAGAAAATTAACGGTCTTTGAAGAAAAAAGAAATCCTTTGAGCACCTAGGTAAAAAGAATAAGTTACTTATAAAAGATATTTAAAAAAGATGTCCATTTGACTTCTATGGTAATTTGTAATGCCAGAAGGAAAGGAAGTAATATATTTAAGTTACCAAACCAAACTAAACTCACTGCCATTGAGTCAGATACGACTCACAAGGAACCCTCCTTGGGTTTCTGAGGCGGTATCACAAAGGAAGTAGACTGCCCAATCTTCCTTCCGAGGAACAGCTGGTGGGTTTAAACCGCCAGCCTTCTGATTAGCAGTCAAATGCTTTAGGCACTATGCCATCGGAGCTCCCAGTATATTTAAGTTACACAAAGAAAATGAAATGTGAGTCAGGGATTTTATATACTCCCACACTGAATTTTTAATGTTAAGACAGCAAACTGTCATCAACATGTAAGAACTGAGGGAGCCATCGAGACAATTCCAACTCACAGTGACCCCCACTGGGTTTCTGAGGCAGTAAACTTTTATGGAAACAGACTGCCAAGTCTTACTTCTGTGGAGTGGCTGGTGGGTTTGAACCACCAACCTTCTGGATAGCAGTCAAATACCTTTGGCACTACGTCCCCAGAGCTCCTTAATATATTTAAGTTATGCAAAGAAAATAAAATGTGAGTCAAGGAATTTTATATCCTGCCACACTGACTTTTAAATGTTAAGACAGCAAACTGTCATCAACATGTAAGAACTGAGGGACCATAAGCCCTTCCTTAGAAATACACTAGAGAATGTGTGTTAGACAGAATGACTAGAGACACATTAACAAAGACTGGTGGTGAATAGTAAATATGTATTTACACATAAAATTAAGACTGAATAAGGGATATAAGAAAGATATTACAGTATGCTACATGCTCTGACAATGTAGATAAAGTACAACTAAAAAAGAAAACCACAAGAGAATGGGAAGAATATACTCAAGTTTTAAAACTACTTTCCGTAATTATTTTGATGGTAAACTTGATATTGTTATTTTGAGTATAATTTACATGTAATAGGGAACAAAGTAAATGAGTCATTATAAGACACTCTACACTTCTAATGTCTTGGAGAAATCAGGATTCTTGCTATGAAAAAAGGAAACAACAGGTGTAAAACAGGTCAAACCAACTCCTACAGTCCTAAATTTGAATTGGAAATATCAGTATAAACTTGAGATATACTCTTTAAAACACATACATATTTTTGCATTATTAGCTCTGTCCACTGAAAATGCCATAAAAACAATGACTAACATAGTAGGAATAAACCCTTCTATTTTTATTATGATCTTGAAATAACACTGCTCATTTAAAGAAACCAAGACTTCCTAAGAGAATTGGCTGGCTCCAGATCTCAAGCAGAAGAGTGTAAAAGGATCATCTAATATATAGCTATTCTGGATAGCGAGAAAGTATTTCAAGGCTATTAGCTTGACTGGAAAAGATCCATATTTGTATTCATTCCAAAGAAAGATGACCATACAGAATGTGCAAATTACTGAACAATATCATTAATATTGCATGTAAGAAAATCTTTCTGAAGATAATTAAAAAATGGTTGCATGAGTATACTGACACAGAACTTCCAGAAATGCAAGCTGGATTCCGAAGAGGACGTGGAAAGAGGGTTATCATTGCTGATTTCTGATGGATCTTGGCTAAAAGCAACGAATACCAGAAAGATGTTTACTTGTGTTTTGCTGACTATGCAAAAGCATTCCATTGTGTGTATCATAAAAATTATGGATAACATTGAGAAGAATGGGAATTCCAGAACACTTAATTGTACTCATGAGGCACCTGTACACAGATCAGAAGACTGTCATTCAAACAGAACAAGGGGATACACCATGGTTTAAAATCAGGAAGGGAGTGTGTCAGGGTTGTATCCTTTCACCGTACTTATTCAATCTGTATGCTGAGCAAATCCGAGAAGCCAGACTATATGAAGAAGAACGTGGCATCAGGATTGGAGGAAGGCTCATTAACAACCTGAGATACACAGATGACACAACTTTGCTTGCTGAAAGTGAGGATGACTTGAGAACTTACTGATGAAGATTAAAGACTCCAGTCTGCAGTATGGATTACACCTCAATATAAAGAAAACAAAACTCCATTCAACTGGACCAATAAGCAGCATTATGATAGATGGAGAAAAGACTGAAGTCGCCAAAGATTTCATTTCACTTGGTTCCATAATCCACACCAATGGAAACAGCAGTCAAGACATCAGACAACGTGGACAAATGTGCTGCAAAAGACCTCTTTAAAGTGCTAAAGAGCAAAGATGTCTCCTTGAAGACTAAAGTGTGCCTACCCAAGCCACGGTATTTTCAATCACCTCATATGCATGTAAGAGTTTGACAATGACAAGGAAGACCGAAGAAGAGTTGATGCTTTTAAGTTGTGGTGTTGATGAAGAATACTCAGAGTACCATGGACTGCCGGAAGAACTAACAAATCTGTCCTGGAAGAAGTGCAGCCAGAATGTTCCTTAAAGGTGAGAATGGCCAGACTTTGTCTCACCTACTTTGGTCATGTTGTCAGAAGGGATTATTCTCTGGAGAAGGGTATCATGCCTGATAAAGTGGAGGGTCAACAAAAAAGGGATAGCCCTTAAAGGGATGGACTGACAGGGTGGCTCCAACAATAGGCTCGGGTATAGCAAGGATTGTGAGGCTGGCACAGGACCAGGCAACGTTTCATTCTGTTGTACACAGGGTCCCTATGAGTCAGAGGCAACTCAACGGCACTTAACAACGACAACAATTTTGTATTAAAAGGATTCAGGGCCCAAATTTAAGAACTTAATTTTTGCTAGTTTCAAAGATGGAACAATCTGACCATCAGTATAAATATCTGCAATAGAGTAAAATGAATCAAATGTTTAAATTCATGAGTTCATAACCATTCACCCCAATCATCCTCTTAATAATAATAATAATAATAAACCAAAACCTAGTTACCTGCTGAGCATACCAGGAAATCAATCCTACTTTTTAAAATTGCCTTTTCTACATAAAAGTGGCCAACTAACTAGAAGAAGAAGTTTCTTTCACAGCACCTTTCCAACATAAAATGAAGAAGAGGAAGGATAAAATTCCACCATTTTGTAATTCCTAATGAATTACACTAAGCACTGATCAACAATGGCTAGGAATAACATAAAAAGAAAGACTACCAAACATCATGAGCCTTCTAATAAACAGCACAACACTGCCCATACAGTAATCTTCCCCCACATACTTAAACCTGGATCTTACTTACATAAGCATCTAGAGCCAACTACCGTAATTTCTCATTTTCAATGGCAGACTTAATCAAATCCAGTTTGCAATACTGCTCAAACTGGCAATGTTATCATCACTTACGTTTTAAAGCATACTGGAGATTAAGAAAAACAACTATAAACTATCCAGATATTGCTGGATATTCTGGTATGTCAATGCCACAGCAGATCAGAAATTGATTAGAAAAGACTTATCAGGGCTTCTCATACTCACTGATAAACCAGTAACTATGAATTTAGAATCAAGAATCTGAATAAGTAGAACCATTCAAGATCTTAAAGCTGGAAGACTGATAATATTTTCTAATTTGATTGCTTGACAGAAAAGGAATCTAAAGCTACAGAAGTTCAAAAGATTTAACCAAAGTTATACCATCAATTGGCAATGGTGTAATTTAAAATTCAGTAAATTTATACTTACCCATATTTATTATGGCTGACCTAAGAGCCAATAATTTACAAAGAAAAATATGTCATTTTAATCTACAAAATTTCCAATATTTTGTTTGTAACTAACTGTAAAGATTCTAATAAAGTTTAGGAATTCCAAAGGTATCACCTGCTATCACCACCAGTTAGTATTTGTTCAACTATATTTGGATCTTAGAGGCTACTGGTCTGAAATTGTCATTTAAATATTTAAGGTAAGAAAGGAAAAGGATGTATTAGTTCTTCCTGCCAGAAACATTGGGACCATTTAACTTTAGCAATTCAGTTTGGCCTTTAATTACTATCTCAAAAGAAATACGAAAACATACATGAACTAATGATCACATGCAGTACCCTACATTGTAAATATCAAGTATTACTCACCGATTCTTTCTCTACAACTCGGTTTAGCATGACAACTGCTTTGGTCTTTTCCTGCCAAACCATGAGCCAGAAATGACAACATGTATTAGGAAGAGGCCCCTGTAAGAATAAAGAAAAAACAGATAAGGGAAAGGGGATGTAAAAGAGCAAGGCTCATGGAAAACTTCCTCAAGAATGTTCTTGGTTTGAAAACAATGTGCTAGATGAAGACACTAAATGAACTTGAATTAAAAAACAGGCTTGTATTAGTTAGGATTTCTGGTTATAAATTATTAAAAGATACTTTTATTTACTTAGCAGAAAGAGAATGTTTTAGGGTATCAGGTGGCTTTCAGATACGAGGGCAGAGAAGCAGGCTTCATAAAACTTAAGAGGAAAAAGATGACTAAAAAAGTAAGCAACAAAAAATAATCAGAACAGTTTGGGGCCCCTAGCTTTCTCTGACCAAGGGCAAAAGCATGAATGAAAAGTAGTCCCAGTCTCAAAGGGCTTACAATGTAGGGGAGAACAAGAACTTATACTACTAACCATAACCTTATCAAGTGCTACAAGAGTAAACGACTCAGAGGTAAACCATCAGGTCTTTGAGAGCAGGGTTACAAAGGATACTTCTGCTGAGGCTGAAAAATGAGGAGAGGTTAGGTAGACAGAGGGGATGCAGAAGGATGGAAAAGGAATTACGAGCTAGCCTAGGAATTCCTAGCATAAGTCATGGCATGTGAAATTTTAGAGCATATTTTAGAAAAAATAAATAGGTCAGTGAGGCACAAGCAGTAGAATGTAGTAAAAAATTTCATGACAAAAAGCTAGGAAGGTACACTTGCAGATTGTAAAGAGTCTTGAATGCAGGAAACTATCACTAAAATTTTTTAAGAGGTAAAATGGTATCAGCTTTGTATGTTACAAATTAATTCTGGTGGCATTATGAAAGACAGATTAGGGAGGGAGGACTGATGGCATGGAAACAAGTTAAAAAGCTACTGTACTAGTACAGATAAAATTTAATAGAGCTCTGAAAAAGGGGTATGGTAGCAGAAGGAAAAGGACTTAGTAGATGCTTGGGATGACTTTGACCCAGATGAGAAACACAAGAGGAGCTGGCTTGGTAAAAAACTGAGTGAGATACAGAACAAGCAAGATTTTTAGATGTCTATGTACTTCAGAAAATTGGACCAACAACCAAACCAACTGCTGTTGAGTCAATTAGAAAATTACCCAATGAAAACCTTATGGGTCACAACAGAACATTATCCAACTTGCTTGCTTTGGGCAGGAAGGATCAATTATTGGAGGAGGACAGTGTGTGTATGGTGAACCAGAGAGGCAGTGACAGTGAGGGAGACACTTGGTAGTATAGATGGGAAATACAGCTGCCAATGATAGACTCAAACATGCCAGCCATCACAAGGATGATGCAGAATCAGGCAATGTTTTGTTGTGTTGTACATCAGGTCACCATGAGTCAGAGTCGACTTGAAGGCACCTATTAGGCTGTTGTTGTTGTTGTTATGTGCCGTAGAGTCAGCCCCGACTCATAGCGATGCCTCCTTGGGTTTCCGAGGCAGTATCATTACAGAAGTAGGATTGCCCAACCTTCCTTCCGAGGAGTGGCTGGTGGGTTTGAACCGCCAGCCTTCTGGTTAGCAGTCAAGTGCCTTAGGCACTATGCTACCAGAGCTCCTATTAGGCTGTTGTTGTTGTTGTTATGTGCCGTCAAGTCGACCCCGACTCATAGCGACCCCTCCTTGGGTTTCCGAGGCAGTATCACTACGGAAGTAGGATTGCCCAACCTTCCTTCCGAGGAGTGGCTGGTGGGTTTGAACCGCCAGCCGTCTGGTTAGCAGGCAAGTGTCTTAGCCACTAGGCTAGATAGGTAAAATACTCACCAGAGACCTGGAAAATAAAGGAGGGAATTTAGGAGAGAATTAAAAACTAGACACAGATGTCTGAGTTTTTACCATTTAAACGAGTGGTATTCCAGCAGGATATAAAGTAACAGTCTAAAGAGGGACAGGAGGTTTTAAAACAAATACTAAGGTACTAACCAGGCATTTTCTCTTTTTTATCCCCTTCATTTAAAAAGATTAATATTTTATTGTACTTAAGGTGACAGACTACATACCAAATTAGTTTCTTTCTCATTTAACAATTTCTACATAAATTTATTCAGTGATACTTGCTACATTTTCTACCTAAAAGAACAAAACCAAACCCACTGCCACCAAATAGACTCCAGCTCAACCCTGTAGGACAGAGTAGAACTATGAGGAGTAGAACTGCCCCACAGGCTTCCAAAGGCTATAAAATCTTCAAAGCAGCAGACTATTCTCTTTTGGTTAGCAGCCTAATATTTTAACCACTGTGCCATTGTTAGGTTCTATCGAGTTGTCTCCGACTCATGGAGACCCCATGTATAGCAAAATGAAGCACTGCCCGGTCCTGTGCCAGCTCCATAATCCTTGGTATACCTGAGCCAATCATTGTAGCCACTGCGTCAAGCCATTTTGTGGAGGGCCTTCCCCTTTTTCATTGATCCTCCACTTTACCAAGTATGTTTTTTTTCTCCAAGGGAACAAGATCTTCTTATAACATGACCAAAGTAGGTGAGATGAAGTTTGGCCATTCTCACTTCCAAGGTGCATTCTGGCTACACTACTTCCAGGACAGATTTGTTAGTTCTTTTAGCAGTCCATGGTAGTTTCAGCATTCTTCACCAGCACCATAACCCAAAAGAAGCATGAACTCTTCTTCGGTCTTCATTATTCATTATCCAGCTCTCATATGCATAAGAGATGATTGAAAATACCATCGCTTGTGTCAGGTGCACCTTAGTCTTCAAGGAGTTATTGTTGCTCTTCAGCACTTGAAAGAGGTCTTTTGCAACTGATTTGACCAGTGCTATACACGCTGTCTGATACCCTGACTAGTGCTTGCACTGGTGTTGATTTCAGAACCAATATGAAGTCCTTGATAACTTCAATCTTTTTTCCATTTATTGTGATGCTGCTTAATGGTCCAGTTGTGAGGACTTTTCTTTTCTTTATATTGAGATGTAATCCATACTGTGGACTGTAGTCTTCAATCTTCATCAGTAAGTACTTCAAGCCATTGTCACTTTCAGCAAGCAAAGTTGTACTGTCAGTGTATTGCACATTGTTAATGAGTCTTTCTTCAATCCTGGTGCCACGTTCTTCTTCATACAATCCAGCTTCTCAGATTATTTGCTCGGCATACAGACTGAGTAAGTATGGTGAAAGGATACAACCCTGACACACGCCCTTCTTGATTTTAAACTATTGCCAAAGGGGAAGGGAAGTCACATCTTCTGACTTCCTCTAACCCCACAAGAAGACAGAATCACCATCAGTAGCCCAAGGCCTATTCCTGCGAGGCCAGACATGCTGCCTTGCTCCTGCACTTTCACCAACCTGACACCAACTGTTCCTCCATCAGTACCTACCACCTCTCTGCTAGGTTTGATAATTTGCTGCAGTGGCCACATAGAACTCTCAGATTATGGGGTTTGTTAGGGAAGCAACAGGCTACAATGCAAGTACAGAAATGTACTCAGTCTCCTGCAGCCAGCTGTCACACTAAGCACCCTGCAGTCTCAGTAGCACATCACTCTCACAGCAGCGCGTGTCTCTTGTGTCTCTTTCAGCAGTGCATGTCTCTTGCATCTCTCTCTCAGAAGCGTGTGTCTCTCACGTCTCTCAGGAGCATGTTTCTCTTAGTGGCACGTCTTTCTCAGCCACCAGTCAGAGATTCCTTCTGCCTCTTGAAGGGCTCCTTTTGAGCCTGGCAAAGTGGCCGAATTAACCAATCCCAACATCAGAATTCTATACACCTGAGAGAGAGTGAACTTCCCAGAAAATTACTTCCTGCTGCTCCCAACAGAAATACCCCAGGTGGATAACGTTAACAATCAGAAACTACTCAGTTGGTCATAGCAAATTCCACCATGGAATTTACAAACACTTATCTCCAGAAAAGCCAAACTATGCAACTTCCTACACCACAACCATGCAGTGTCCCCTTGTTCTGTTTGAAAAACAGCCTCCTGGTCTATGTACAGGTTCCTCATAAGTACAATCAGGTGTTGTGGAATTCCCATTCTTCTCAATGTTACCCATAATTTGTTATTACGCACACAATGGAATGCTTTTGCATAGTCAATAAAACACACATAAACATCTTTCTGGTATTCTTTGTTTTCAGACAAGATCCATCAGACATTAGCAATGATATCCCTTGTTCCATGTCCTCTTCTGAATCCAGCTTGCATTTCTGGAAGTTCTCTGTCAATATACTGCTGCAATCAGTTTTTAATTACCTTCAGTAATATTTTCCTTGCATATGATATTAATGATATTGTTCGATAATTTCCACATTCTGTGGAATTACCTTTCTACGGAATGGGTACAAATATGGACTTCTTCCAGTCAGTTGTCCAGATAGCTGTCTTCCAAATCTCTTGGCATAGCCAAGTGCATCCCTCCAGTGTGGCATCCATTTGTTGAAACTTCTCAATGGATATTCTGTCAATTCCTGAAGGCTTGTTATTCACCACTTCCTTCGGTGCAGCTTCAATTTTTCCTTCAATACCACTGGTTCTTAATCATATGCCACCTCCTGAAATGGATGCACATCAACCAATTCTTTTTGGTACAATGACTCTGTGTACTTCTTCCATCTTCTTTTGATGTTTCCTGCATCATTCAATATTTTGCCCATAGAATCTTTCAATAAAGCAACTCAAAGCTTAAATCTTTTCTTCAACTCCTTCAGCTTGAGAAATGCTGAGTATGTTCTTCCCTTTTGGTTTTCTAACTCCAGGTCTTTGCACATTTCATTATAATAATTCACTTTGTCTTCTTGAGCTGCTCTTTGAAATCTTCTGTTTAGCTCTTTTATCTTGTCACTTCTTCCATTTGTTTCAGCTACTCTCCTTTCAAGGACAAGTTTCAGAGTCTCTTCTGGCATCCATTTTGGCCTTTTTTTCCTTTCCTGTCTTTTAAATGACCTTTTCCTTTCTTCATGGATGATGTTCTTGATGTCATCCCACAATTCCTCTGGTTTTTGGTCACTGGTGTTCCATG